CTAGTACAGCAAGTAGTATTTAATGCTAAAACGGCTTGCCATAAGACCCGTTCAGATTGGATGGAGCTCTGAATCCGTTACCGTACAGGCAACTCCTCCCTCCGCCTGTCAGACCTATCTGATCTCGCTCTCATCATGGCTCCGGCAGCGGACAGGCCGGGCTACTGGGGAACACCGACCTCAACTCTCGACTGGTGCGAGGAGAATTATGTGGTCTCGTATTACATCGCAGAATTCTGTAAGTATGTTTGAACGGCGGGCTTGTGTTCAGTACACGCGGTCCATTGTCGTGTAGGACGGTAAACACGGATGTTAAAACGGGAGAGAGGAGCATTGTCGAACCATACTATGAGAAGACGTGATACGTAATATTCATGAGGGAATCATCCGCTATTGGACGATTACGAGGCATCGTCAGCATAGCCTAATTAATATTGATAAGGCAGGTCTTCTCCATTGGAAGGGTTCGAAGCAACGTCAAAGTGACGTAATTAATATTAAAAAGCCACGCCCTTTTCATAGCAAAGTTCCAAAGCAACGTCAGCGTAACCTAATTAAAATTCATAACCATTAGCCATAGTAGGATTCGTAACTTGGCAGCCGAGGCCAGCGACCCTCTGTCCGCGTTGAACTTGTATCATAAAGCTTAATAACAAATAAGAAATTCAAACAAATGAACGGAAAGAGAATGAATGAAACCCAGTGTGTGGCAATATTTGGGGAGGAGCTCGTGCCGCCGATACTGATTTTCAGTGAAACCACAGAGTGTGAACAGAAAACATTCTTTATTTCCACGTATATATATATGTTTTCTTATGTTAATCGTTCTTTAATTTGCTTTAATTATAAACTGACTATGAGTATATGGTCTAAAAATGTGAGCAGTGACTCGAATCAGAGCTGCTAATGAAGCTAAGTCAGTTGAACGTGGTTAAGAACTAACAGTGTAACCAGCAACATAACTAACTTGTACTGTAAATATGCATGCCAGATTTAGTGAAGCTGTATACTTGATAATTCTACTCATACCTACTATAGTACTACAGTAATTGCGTGGAGTTTCGTTGGTCTCTGCTGACAGAAAAACATTACCAGCTGAAGATGGTTTGCAGGTCTTAGCTGGTACAGTTGGTCTGATCAACCGAAAAGTAGATGATGAATAATAATAATGTAAAGCTACATTCTAAGTAAAAACTGAAAAATTTCTAAAATTCAGCTGAATAATTCAATTACAGTCCTAATATTCAAGAAAAAACTATGATATGTGAGATCCCAAATATAAATTTCAAATTTGTGATGTGAACAAAGTCATTTTAACAAATATATTTCTAACAAAAATAATGAGGAATATTTTGTCATGGCCAGTATGAAATATTTATAGGCAGCATTTGTTCCCATTTTCTTTTGTTGGTTTGTTTCTTTTAGACATACTTATTAACTTAGCAACACTTTAAAAATGTTCATTACCATTAATATAATTAGAATGAGAAATCTTATAATGAAGGATTGAAAAGAAAACTGCATTAAACACTAAGATGGTTTTCTGATCTAGTTGGTCCTCTCGCCTGATCAGCCAAAAAGTACCCAAAGCCACTGTACCGTGTATGTACGGTACAGTATGCATTAAAGTACCATCAGTATATTTTTGTAAGAATAATATAATATTTAAACTGTTTAATTACATTACTTTCACAATACAGACTTTAACTGAGAGAAGTAGATTGCCATACTGGGAATTGTAATTTGAGATATCTCTAATTAGAATTATGCCTAGTACAAAATCAATTATAGATATCTTTAATTACAATTTCTACTAGTCAAAACTCTTTTGTAGATATCCGAAAATATTTTCCAATGGAAGTCAATGGAACAATACGACTAGTCGTAATAGCATTGTAGATATCTCGAATGTATATTATGACTAGTCAAAATAACATTGTAGATATCTTCAATGCATATAATGACTAGTCATAATCACATTGTAGATATCTTAATTCCAATTACGACGAGTCAAAATTGCAGAATAGATATCTGGAATTGGAATTTTGACTAGTCAAAACTAAATTATGACTAGTACAGCAAGTAGTATTTAATGCTAAAACGGCTTGCCATAAGACCCGTTCAGATTGGATGGAGCTCTGAATCCGTTACCGTACAGGCAACTCCTCCCTCCGCCTGTCAGACCTATCTGATCTCGCTCTCATCATGGCTCCGGCGGCGGACAGGCCGGGCTACTGGGGAACACCGACCTCAACTCTCGACTGGTGCGAGGAGAATTATGTGGTCTCGTATTACATCGCAGAATTCTGTAAGTATGTTTGAACGGCGGGCTTGTGTTCAGTACACGCGGTCCATTGTCGTGTAGGACGGTAAACACGGATGTTAAAACGGGAGAGAGGAGCATTGTCGAACCATACTATGAGAAGACGTGATACGTAATATTCATGAGGGAATCATCCGCTATTGGACGATTACGAGGCATCGTCAGCATAGCCTAATTAATATTGATAAGGCAGGTCTTCTCCATTGGAAGGGTTCGAAGCAACGTCAAAGTGACGTAATTAATATTAAAAAGCCACGCCCTTTTCATAGCAAAGTTCCAAAGCAACGTCAGCGTAACCTAATTAAAATTCATAACCATTAGCCATAGTAGGATTCGTAACTTGGCAGCCGAGGCCAGCGACCCTCTGTCCGCGTTGAACTTGTATCATAAAGCTTAATAACAAATAAGAAATTCAAACAAATGAACGGAAAGAGAATGAATGAAACCCAGTGTGTGGCAATATTTGGGGAGGAGCTCGTGCCGCCGATACTGATTTTCAGTGAAACCACAGAGTGTGAACAGAAAACATTCTTTATTTCCCACCACGTATATATGTTTTCTTATGTTAATCGTTCTTTAATTTGCTTTAATTATAAACTGACTATGAGTATATGGTCTAAAAATGTGAGCAGTGACTCGAATCAGAGCTGCTAATGAAGCTAAGTCAGTTGAACGTGGTTAAGAACTAACAGTGTAACCAGCAACATAACTAACTTGTACTGTAAATATGCATGCCAGATTTAGTGAAGCTGTATACTTGATAATTCTACTCATACCTACTATAGTACTACAGTAATTGCGTGGAGTTTCGTTGGTCTCTGCTGACAGAAAAACATTACCAGCTGAAGATGGTTTGCAGGTCTTAGCTGGTACAGTTGGTCTGATCAACCGAAAAGTAGATGATGAATAATAATAATGTAAAGCTACATTCTAAGTAAAAACTGAAAAATTTCTAAAATTCAGCTGAATAATTCAATTACAGTCCTAATATTCAAGAAAAAACTATGATATGTGAGATCCCAAATATAAATTTCAAATTTGTGATGTGAACAAAGTCATTTTAACAAATATATTTCTAACAAAAATAATGAGGAATATTTTGTCATGGCCAGTATGAAATATTTATAGGCAGCATTTGTTCCCATTTTCTTTTGTTGGTTTGTTTCTTTTAGACATACTTATTAACTTAGCAACACTTTAAAAATGTTCATTACCATTAATATAATTAGAATGAGAAATCTTATAATGAAGGATTGAAAAGAAAACTGCATTAAACACTAAGATGGTTTTCTGATCTAGTTGGTCCTCTCGCCTGATCAGCCAAAAAGTACCCAAAGCCACTGTACCGTGTATGTACGGTACAGTATGCATTAAAGTACCATCAGTATATTTTTGTAAGAATAATATAATATTTAAACTGTTTAATTACATTACTTTCACAATACAGACTTTAACTGAGAGAAGTAGATTGCCATACTGGGAACTTTAGTTTGACTGCTGATATATGACAGTATGGAAGGACACAGTGTACGTAGCCATTACATCTCCATATTGTTTGCTAAAGTAGATTTCAGGTCACTCTGATAAGTTGGTCAAAGGGCACAAAGTGATAGTTAACATATGCGAACATTAATACTAATAGAGCTTGAATTCCAGCTGTAATTTCCTATAGGGTTTTAGGATAGCGGTGTTTGATTTAAGAATGAAATAGTCTGATTATTTGAGCCTCATTTTAAAACATAAATTACACAGTCATATTTCAAAACATAAGTTTAATCGCTGCTAGAACCAACAGGAATTTCAGTGTCATCGAGATCAGAGGGGCCTTTGCTGTCCAGTGGGAACCTGTTGCCTTGTGAAGGAATGTGCCATGTTCAGTATGACGAGCCGTATATCCAAACAGTGAAACAATAGGCCTGTACACATCGTGTTAGGGCTTTCTAGCATAGGTTTAGTTTTCTTGGACTCAGCAAAGAGGCACGATAGCATTCTGACAGCTGCTGGTGGTGCTAAGAAGTCGGTTTGGATGAAGTTCACTCATCTATTGTTCATATCCATTCAAGTGGAAGTTCATGGCAGTTTTTACTGTTATCGTTAATAGAATAACTCAAATATGACTTATAAAGGAATAGTTCACCCAAAAATGTAAGTTTGCTGGAAATGTATTCATCCTCATGTCGTCCAAGATGTAGACTAGTTTGTTTCTTCAGATTTGGAGAAATTTAGCACTACATCAGTTGCTCACCAACGGATCCTCTCCAGTGAATGGGTGCTGTTTGGACTCTCATTCTGACGGCACCCATTCACTGCAGAGCAAGTGATGTAATGCTAAAGTTCTCCAAATCTGAAGAAACAAACTCTACATCCAGGATGGTCTGAGGGTGAGTTCATTTTCATTTAATTTTTGGGTGAACTATTTCCTAATATTTAAATTCATTAAAATAAAAACATTGTTTTTTTTGCTTTCTCCAGGGAATACTGTCAGTAACCTGATAATGATCCTACCTCCCATTTATGGAGCCATTCAGACGTGTAAAGACGGTTTGGAAGTACGCTATGTGTGGTCCTTTTTAGGACTTGCTGGTAACGTATCTTTCACGTGATTTTATATAAACACAAACCTCATTTTTTAGGAAGTGACCTTTCACCCAGTTATTCAAGACTGTATTTCCTAAACAAACAGAGATAAAATTTACCGTTTTTATGTTGTCTCTCTTTTCGCTACAGCCGTAGGTATTGGTTCATGGAGCTTCCACATGACACTACAGTATGAAATGCAGGTAAGCTGGACTTTTCTTCAGCCTTTCAAAATGTGCATCTTGTTGCCAAGCACATGAAAAGCTTATTTTCACTTTCATTCTCATAGCCACAAAGCTGCTTCTCTAACGGTACATCCCCAAAGCAATAGCAGTAGTTAACAAGCCTCTGGATTGTCTTTTGTTTTTAGTTACTAGATGAGCTGCCGATGATCTACAGCTGCTGCGTATTTGTCTACTGTCTGTAAGTTGACATTTCTTACACATGCAAAGTCACACTGTCTGCCTTGCCTTCAACTTTGACCTCTGAACACTCATCATAAGCTTAATGAGGATCAGACGATGTATGGACAGAAAATGATTTTTTATCATGAAGATTTTGGATTTCTTTTGCCATTCAAAAGTTTGGGGTCGGAAAGATTTTTTGGAACAAGTCTATGATCTCCAAGGCTGCATTTATTTAATTATAAATACAGTAATATTGTGAAATATTTTTAGTTACAATTATTAGTTTATTTGATACAGATGTTTTTGTTTGTAAATTAGAAATGTCTTTACTGTCACCTTTGATCAATTTAATGCATCCTTGTTGAATAAAATATTAATTTCTGTCCAAAAAAAAAAAAATTAATGACCCCAAACTTTTGAAAGGTAGCACATGATTGTAGGTAATTTACTATGGATGTTTTTTTCTGAATCTGAATGCATATCTCACATATTACAGATATGAGTGCTTCAAGCAAGAGCGTGCCGTTAACTATTTGTCAATTACACTTTTGCTGACCTTCAGTATTATTGTTAGTGTGGTAAGTTTTTTCTTTAATGTTCTAAATTAAAAAAAAATATATATATATACAGTGGGGCGCAAATGTCAGAAATTTCTAATTTTTTTTATTTTCTAATAACCTTTTCATTTCAAATAAAATTATCAATATACTTTGCATTGAAATAAAAAATAAATGAATTAAAAATAAAACATTAATATTTCTTAATATGGCATTCATATTATCGAGCATTATTGAGGAATGTTATTTATTCTTTATTTGGATATCCATTAGCTTCCATAAAGTGGCCATGACACTTTGCATAAAAATGCTCAAAGTAAAAATAACAATGGGAAAAAAGTGACCTAGAAATACTGCAAAATCGTAATAAATATTTCCTCTTTTTCATAATTAAACTTTCATTGTTTTAATTTTTTAGAAACTCTACAACATTGCTTATTTCCTTTTTTTTTTTTAAATGAATAAAATCCCAGATTTTCAGTGCAGTCTCAGTCCCCACTCTTTATGTACTGTATATATTATTGATATTTTTAGGTATTTTGTTCTCCATGCTCAAGAAGTGCATTTCATTTATCTTTTGCAGGTTTACCTGATATGGAAGGAGCCTGTGTTTCATCAGGTGAGGCCTGACTAAACATTTAATGCTGCATTAAGAACCTCTCTATTTTGGTTTATCCTATGTTGTCAGGTGATTTTGAGAGCATGACAATGTTGTGTCAAAACAGCTTCTGCAGTCAGTATTTGTTGTCTGTTTCTATTGTTGAAAGGCATGACAGTAGGGTGTGACTCTGTTCATGCTCAGGGTATTGAATGGTACATGACTGTCTATAAACGCAATGCTGTGATCTCTTTGTTTAATACGACCAGCGCATCACTGTCATGTAAAGCGCAATTATATTGTATTATTGTTTATATAGCAGATGGTGCTAAATACACAGGTTAACAACAGTTTTATCATTTCCCTCAGGTCATGTATGCCGTACTAGTGGCTTTCTTGGTGATTCGCTCTGTTTTCATAGTCACTTGGTGAGTGAATGAATCTTTATCACTTCCAAATCTGTATTCACTGCATTTGAAGCTTGTTTTACTTTCTATGATGTGAGATATTTCCAAGTGAAACATTACATGCATTAATCTGTACGAAGGTAAATAAGTGCATTAACATCTTGTCTGTGCTTTGCAGGGTGCATCCATGGCTCAGAGCCCTTGGCTTTACATCATTAAGCATCTTCCTGTTGGGATTCGTATTATGGAACATCGATAATATCTTTTGTGACTCTCTAAGGTAGATCTACATTTGCATTACATTGCGATTGCATTTTAATTTTAATTTTAGTCAACTAAGGTAACATTTTAGTTTACAAGAAAGTGCCAAATTAAATATTAAATTAAATATGAAAATATTTTATATGTTCATTTTCAAAATCAACATTTAATGTTGTTAAATGTTTTTAAATAATTAAAATGTGCATGAATGATATTTACACACACACATTTATATATTCCTAAATATTAGAATATTTTGTATATTCATATTACTTAAATCACTTGTTCTGTGGTTGACCAAGCAAAATGAGAGCAGATGAAAAACAGAAGAGGTCATTGTTTGTCACTGTTTTTGGTTCAGAGCCACGCGGCAGCAGCTGCCCCCTGTGGTCGGAGCAGTTACGCAGCTTCATGCCTGGTGGCACATCCTAACAGGCCTAGGGTCATATTTACACATACTCCTCAGGTACGTAATTATGAAACATTAAGTCACTTAAATGCATGATGCATGTTGCATATGCTTATAATTTATTTTTTTTGCCGTAGCCTTCAGATTCGCTCAACCTACCTCAAGCACAGACCAAAAGTGAAGTTTTTGTGTGGCGTTTGGCCGATGCTGCACATTGAATCTCAGAAGGCGTGTTGAAAGGGACCTGAGAAGAGGAAGATGGACCAATCACAGACCTCAGACAGACAGAGGTCCAGCCAATGAGCTTCAACGGCAGCAGGAAGTTACCAGCGGCTGTCGGTTTGGTTCCCCCGTTCCCTTCTTCCCCTTTCCGCTCCGTTTGCCAAGCGCATTACTGAGAAAGCTGCCAAATGAAGGAAAGCTTTTGTCTTTTATTATAGGGTAGATGAGAGCACACTGTAATATGCATAGAAATTGTCCTATAAATCAGAGGGTCTAATTAGCGAGAAAGAAGCGGCCAAAACTAGGATTTGGTTCTGGCTGGTATTTTTTGTTGCCTTCTTGAGGGAAACTAATATAGCTTTGATGGATCATATCTAGTCAGTTTGGCATCTCATATTTTGTACTTGTACTTAATGAAGATTATGCAAGATTTTACTTTTATCTCTACATTTTTAGAGATTATGAAGGTCAAATTAAGCAGATCAGAAAAATGAATGAGTGTTAATAAGTTGGGAGTAAAGTGTGATCTTTTTCATCCTGAAGATGGGGATGAGATATTACTGTAACACATTTTACTGTAATAATGGTCATTGTACTCAGTGTGTTTCAGAGATACAGTAGCATGTTACATAATCGTTTCCATGTTACACATATTACTAAATCAATGACTCACTTATTAAGCCACTCAGAATGAATCAGTGTTTTTGAACAAATTGTTCAATTTATGATTCAGTGACTCACTCCTAAAGATTGTCAAGACTTGATCCTGTGTTTTGAACGAATCAGTTGAATGAGTGACTCAAAACACAATTGATTCAAGGACAAACCAGAACTTATAGTTGTATAAAAATAAATAGTTAAGTGTGATTGTGCCCTTCAAACATTTCAAGCCCCTCATGTCACCGATATGTAATTGAATTGATTTAATTTATTCTCATTTGAGGTAAACTAATTATGAATATAGTGTTAATATGAACATTTTATGAAGGAATTATTATGAGTGCTAATTTACATTGAGCTAAGATACTCAAATGCCGTTACTCAGTCGAGAGTAAATTGATTAAAAGCATATAAAACCTTACTATTATTAGTAAATGAATGTCTCATAAGCTAGATAGGCCTATCCATTATATTCTCCTCTCTAATATTTACTACTTGATCTGCCACTGGCTGCACTTGTGGTCAAAAAAACAACAGTGAAGTTATGGTTATATATGAAGACGTGTAGGCTATTAATATTGATTCGTCATTTGTTTTATGTATTGTGCCAAGTTAATGGTTCAACAAGAACACAATCATCTCTATGTGAAGCACAGTGGATAAAAAGAAAATCTTACATATTCCAGTGAGGCGTGAGGCACAATGTTCCCGATAAAGCTTCGGTTGGAGTCGTGTTTGTACCACTGAGGGTGCCTTACATTAAACTGTAGTTTATCCCTTGTTGCCTTGATGTGCATTATATTAAATCACTACAAATGACATATTCCATCACATATCTAATGATTCAGATAAAAGTAAGAGGTCAACATTTTCTCTAAGAGTACAAACGAACTAACAACAGCAAAATTACTGCCACCATCACTGCAGTTTAGTGCCTAAATCCACTAACTCAGTTGTTTAGATAATAGGCAATACATTTTTGGACCTCTAATCACGCTTATGACTGAAATGGTGAGTTATAATAATGGAATATTGTGGCTAACCTTCCCAGGATTGTCCTGTAAAGCTGTGTAATGATTTATGTATGTTATGTGTGTTTTGTGATTTTTCTTTTCCTTTTTTTGGCTCATTAAAATCCATGTTGCCAAAACATTAAACATGGTTTTAATTAAACTTGTTTGTCTGTATAAGCAAAACATTTTATATTCATATGTAACGTTCCTATTTTTGAACGATGACGTTGGAAGGTAAGAAAACATGAAAAGAAAAACATGAATCTTTATGAATTACTTTGAAATATAAAGTTATTTTTAACATATATTTAACATAACATTTTTGTAACATTTTAGCCTATGCTGTTATTAAACTAAAACCTAACTTAACCTAATCTTAAGCACTTCTCGATAATATACAGTGATATTATTTTTTAATTATAGGCTATTAAGCTATAGACGTTGTTTTAATAATTCAACAATTTGAATTAATGTACTTGATTAAACACGATAAAACCATCCTTTTAATTTCACAAATTCTTTGTTAACACCTGTACATTTCTAAAGTTGTTAATACGTGAGAAGGCTGTCACATGAATAATATTCGTTCAGTGTTTATGCAAAAATATGAAAATGTATGTGTGCTAGAACTACATTTAAAATAGGCTATGAGTTCCTACGATTAATGAGTTCAGGTTGGAATGGTAAAACCTGTTTTTATACAGTCTATGGGTAAAACACACCTGGCCACCGTAAAAACAATGACTGTATCAGTGTTGTAACAGTAGAGGGCGCCACCATAGTGAACTCTATCCTACACAGCTGTAAGACAGAGATTCAGTGAGTCATTTCCCGCCTTGGAAAATAAGCATGTATGAACCTCTGGAGCTCCGACGCTCAGGTAAACTGGGGAATTGTTCACGACGTCAGAGATTTCAGGTGAACACTTGTTTTCAGTTGCTTACATGGCTTCTGACTGTATAAAACTGGGAAACCCCTTGACATCATCAGGATACCTAAACCTGACATGAGATGATAACATAGTAGTGTGTTATTAAAAATGACACATTTATTTAGAATAACATTTAATTCACAATTCATTACATATAGTTTTTGTCACACCAACTATTTAAGTTGGAAAAAACTATTTACTATTTAAGACTTGAAAAAAACGATTAAAAGGTGATTCAAAGTAGCCTATAGTGAAAACTACATCAATGACAAGTTAAAATATACATTTTCCACACAGTATATTCACATTTATTGTGTTGTTTGTCATGTTATTTGTCGATTAACCACATCAGAACAGGGTAAACTGGGTAAATCTGTCTTTAATTTAGGCTACTTTTAATAAAAATTTATCTTAGCTGTCCTGAGACTGATCAATGAAACATTTAAGGCTGAATGAACTAACCTAATATGTAAATGTCGAATTAAATGACATAAAACTATTAAATATAATGAACTATTGTCTCAATCAAAGATTGTATTTGTAAATGTGGTGCATGAAAGAGTGAATGTAAGAGAACTGCTGTTTGCATTTTGGGCATCATTTTACTGCAACCAAAAAGTAACATCACACTTCATTGTTTTCACAAACTGTGGAAAAAGATGCTCAGATCATGAGGGTGAGATGTATTTAAATAAAAAAATTTTTTTTTTTAAGTTTGCATATTATGGGCTGTTTGCTGTTACTATTACTCATATTTAAAGTTAAATATTAGAATGCGTGCTAAAAACCATGCTAAAAAAAGTTATATTTTTGGCAAATATAAAAGCCTTTTCACACCAAAAGTGAAGTGAATAAGCCTCAGGCTGACGGGAAAGTAAATTTGCGTCCGTACTGTATGCAGAAGAAGAAATTCTTGAAAAAAGTAATCTGATTACGTAACTCGCGTTACTTGTAATGCGTGACCCCCAACACTGGTCATAGCAATACTTAAAAAACAAAATAATTAAAAAATAATAATTAATTAAATTAAACAATAACCCACCTTATGAATTCTAATAGGTGAATTCAGGTTAATTGGGTCATTTTCCCAGTCACCTCAATGGCAAAAAAGTGTCCCAGTAATGAGAAGCAGTCAGCCTCTAAACTGATACAGAAACATGCACACACTTTATAGTACACCTTTATGTGTCTGAAATATTTGAAAATGTAAAAAACTATACTCAGAATACCTGAGCTGCATTGCTGAAAATGTAACTTAAAAAATAACCCATATTGTGAATTCTAATAAATCAGAACCAAAAACCAGAATCAGAACCAGCCAGTCTCTAAATTGAGACGGAAGTATTTTATTTTAACAAGGGTGATGCCTATTGGGAAAAATCCATGTTGTAAATACAAAAATTCCCTGACTACATCCTGAACCAACAGCTTTATGTGTTACTAACACTACTGATAACAGCAGATGTAGAGGTGGGTGCCAGATTCTGTGGCAAAGGAAGCAGTTACAACATTATTTAGATGAGCTGTTTGCGATATTTTTGCTGAGATTAGACAATCAGTGACAGCTGAGAGCATCTGTGTTTGATTTATTCTCTACTAGAATCCCTGAGTCATCTGAAACACTTCTGATAAACAGCCGTGACAATCAGCTCACCACGACTGCACTGATGTTTGGGGGGGGGAAACTGCAGAATTCTGCATAACACATTAAGGTGAAATGTCTTAATTGGAGCTGAGAGTACATGATAAGCATGCATTGGCGACATACAGAACTTTGTGGCTTACAGGAGTGGAGCTGTAGATGCTGTGTGGGCTTGGCTATATGAGCTCGTCCGCATTACCAGTTTTTTTTATGACAGTGTTAACTAGATCATTTGGTGAGATATAATGTGAGTCATCTGAATGACTAATTTCTTATTCCCAAATCAGATTTACAGGCCAAAGTCAACAGTATCAAGTGTCGTCTTTACACTGCAAAAGCACCAAATACACACAGGATAACGTATGCAATCAAAAAAATTATTCATAAATCCACTTACAATGGAAATCTGGCAAGGAGGCAAATGTAAAAGTGTTTTGTTTGGTTTTACAAACTGTCAAGTCAGACAAGTCAGAATTATTTTATTTCTGTTTTAACAAAATACATTTTTTTTATTTATAAACCAAAACATGCACAGAGGTGGCATTTTTTATATTTAGATGTATTTAAACAGGAAACGCTGTATATGGATCAAAGCAGAAAAGCATATTGAGTGTCTGAGAGTCTGGCTTGTCGGTCAAAAGTCCATTTAGAGACCATTGGGAAGTAGATGCGGACTGAATTAAAACATAGTATCTATTAAACAAGGTGTTGGGAGTTAAAGTATTTTAAAGAGTTAAAGTGTGATTTTTACTCTAAAAATGCAAACAAATTCTCCAAAATAATTATTAAGTATAGTAAGGAAATGCAATTTATCACGAACCTTACACCCCTGCCCTATTTACAGACATAATATCTGCTTTTATGGTACTGATTTATGGTATTATAAACTTGAATGCTTTCATATTTCATTCTGATAGTGTGTTTAATGAAACAGTTACACTAATTATAGTGAAAAAGCCAAATGCTTTTCAAATGGCAAAAAGCTTTTTTACGATGATACAGTCATGTTCCTGCAGATTGTGTGTTGAGAGATTTCCCACTGTGTGCTTCTAGCAACTATATTAAAGGAAAAGAAAAAAAAGAGGAAAACTCCCCCTGTACCCCACAACACCGCAGGGCTGAATCTTTACATGCACGTTTTGGCTTAAACTTTTGGATAGTTCACGTACTGTAACATATAATCAATGTTAAAATACCAGAGTGTGCTGCTTGTTTTGACTTGAACGTGCATTTAAATCAGATAGTCTGTTTCACGTGTGGATGTCAGGATAGTTATACCTGTATATAAACCCTTCTGTGAGAGAGTTGAGTTCACAGCAGACATGGGGAACCTCTGGCTGGGCCTGTTCACACGGCTGCAGCATGCTGTTCTGTGTGCCTCCCCGCTGCCGCCTCTAGGACTGTCCGCTCGTGGCGACCTGGAGTTTGCAGAGGTAATTAAAGATCCTTAAGATATTCGAATATAGTTTTAAAAACTACAAAACATTGGAATGGTGCTTGTCTGTGCAAAACTCACCGCCACAATGCTAGGGTCTTGTGAACGGTTTGCCAGCATTGATATGCAGATACTAGGGTTTTTGGGTGTTGCAGGTCTCCCCTTCAAGTAAAAAAAAAAATCTAAATTACTTTTGGGCTCACTTTTGGATTATTACTGTTTTCTTATTTTTGCATACATGAAGTAATGAATTACAAATGTTGCTATATATTGAATATGTGTTTCACTGATCAGAAAAAAATGTGTGCGTGTACTGTATATGCAGGAAGCTGTATATGATGTCACATCACATGATGTTTCAAAACATCTTAGGGAAGTCACTAGTGTGTAGTCTCTGGGAACTTCCACTATTCAAGTCTACGCGAATAGCTACAACATCTGTTTCACTGTGTGTGAAAATTCTGAAGTGGTGATTTGCGTAAAAGCATTGAGCTGGTGATGATGGTGACTTTTTACGGGTGTGTATAATTGCACAAAGAGCATGATTCAAAATACACTGTAATACAGCGCACGCATTAGCATGGGCAGACTACCAAAGGTTTCTGTACTTGTCTTAAAAAATAGTTTTCAAGTCTATATATTTAGTTTGGCTGAAGGGTAAGTTTTCTCAGCATAAAATAAAAGCAGCTGCTGTGTATGTGGTGTTTTCCGGTGGAATTCTTGAAACGATTATAGTAAACAGCCCTCTGGGCAATAGATTTGTGTCTATTGTGAGTGAGATTACGTCATTAAAACAGCTTTAACTTCGGAAATCCACGAAAGCCAAATGTATCTCAGCCAAAGCAATGAACCTACAGAAGTGATGTGTGCTTAAACATCATGACCAGACTAGTCAATAGTAATCTATATAGTAATTTTTCCATAGTAAATTTACCATAATATAGTCAGACAAATATGTTTTATCAAAAAAAAAAAAACTAGTATTTTATATTAAATTAACTATAGAAAATGTAGTAAAACTGTTTTATAGTACTATTATAGTATACTACAATCAGTTTAGCAATTCACTTCATATTTAAAGGAATAGTTCACACAAAATTGAAAATTTGCTGAAAATG